CTATGACTATTCCCCACTAACTGCAGATTTTAAGGTTTTTTAACTGTGTACACAAAAGCAAGGAATATGATGAAAAACACTAGAGACAAAAAGAGTACACAGTAACCATCAAAAAAACTCCAAGAAACTGAAATCTCTCACACAACACATTAATTGTCTCAGAGTAGGAGTTAAATAATAGCAGCTAACTCAAGGTCAAGCAAACCTCTTTATCCACTGACTACATGAAGACCCTCTTCTAGAAACCTGGACCAATACCAGGTGTGAATACTTACTAGACCAAGCTGCCGCAATGAACAGTATTTCTACTAACACAGCCTGATTTGACCAGGGATTGAAAACCCTTCAGAATCAGGCTCAAACCAAACCATGGATCTCAGAACAGAAGAAATAATACTGTTTACAAAGAGCCATGGCACAAGTATAAAACCCATGCTCTCACTAAGAGACAGGCATACGATGCTGGTCTTAGAAATGTTTCTTATATAAAAACAACACTTAAAAAAGGAAAAATATCTGGACAAGCAAAACCAACATTGATTCAACCACATCAAATCATGATAACCTGCAGTATTAATGTGTTTGAAAACTTGTATCAAAATCAGTAACCGAGAGGAGCACCTTACTGTACTCCATGCACACTAATGCCTGCAAAGCTACAAGGCAAGCTTTGCCAGTGGATTTCTAAGAGAATTGCTAAGACCAGACAAATGCTGAGACTAAGGAGTCCAGCTTTTAATTGTTTCCCAAAGCAAGTTTGCTCTATTCACTAAATATGCTTGTAAACCTATTGCTTAACCCACTTCCATCTTCCTTCCCTCCTTGTTCTTGTTCACATCACGCTTGCTCTCTCTCTCCCTCCCCCCTTTTCTAAGCAGCCAAGTCACGCTTTTCCCTCTCCTCTAAGTACCACCAAAAAGCTTGAAAGGTCCCTCTCCAGTCTGCTTGACAGCAGCAGATCATATCTAAAAGCAGACCTGGCAAAGTAAGGTCTCCGTCAGTCTCAGCACCCCACAGCTGTTAAGTGGTCAGTTGCGTAACAGAGATTATGCTCTTGGAAATAGAAAAGGATGGAGAACTATTCGTTCAGGCAGGCCTTCAGGGGATGTAAAATCACTGTAAGCAGATGTCTAATTCATCTTTTGGACATGTATTTTCTTTTTCAAGCACCTGCTTTTGATAAAGCAACACCCAAATTCCTTGCTTTTCATAGAAAACCATGATGGAAGAAAGGTCTAGCAATACAGGAGAGAGTTCTTTTAACATGGGAAAATGAACATGTTTTCTTCCTACCTAAATTTAATAACTCATTTAACCATTGAAGAAGAAACTTAAAAAGAAACACCCAGAATAGAAAACTTCCACCCAAGAGTTTTGACAAACTTCTCACTGAAAAGAGGGTCCTCTGAAGGAAACTGCAGGACAATTTCACCCAGAGACATGACTACTATTTGCACCAGCAATACAGCAATGTATTTCAGTGAGGTGCATGTTTCTTTAAATCAACAAAACATAATGCTTGATAAAACACCTCTTAGCAGCAAGAGGCACCAATGTTTACAATAGCAGCATGTACAGCAGTGAATGAATATATCAAAATGTTAATTTTAAATTAAAGCACTACAACCCAGCTCCTTCTTTTGGAATACTTTTTAATTTTATCTTCAAAACTTACCTATTCATGTGTGTTAATGTCTGATCAAATGAATGTTCTCCAATCCTTTTATTGCCAGAAAGATCTCTACCTCCACTCCCAGTGTAAGTGAATTCATCTCCTCGATCCTGTGCAAGAAGATTATCCTTCGCTTTAACACTCCAAAGTAAAGCAACTCAATTTAAAAAAATGCGACTTCATTTGTTCTGTTTACTCAGAGAAAATGTATAATCCAAGGCGTGGAAAGATATGTTTCCAATTTCAGCGTCACTGTCTTTCTACAGTAGTAGTGCAGCACAAAGCTACTGGTCTGGATGTAACATATTCACCAGAAAATTCTTATTAAAAAATTGCCTGCCTTAGAAGATCGGACTTTTGCATCTTTTAAAAAGCTGGGGTTTTTTTGGGGGGGGGGGCAGAAATCTGAGGAAGGGAACACATTCTAGCAAGTGGTTACATGCTCTAGAGCTTTTCTTTGGTTTACAAGAATAGAATGTTTGTAAAATACATCATAAATACCTTGTAGGGATTACTTCAGCTTCTGCAAGGGGCTAAGTGCTAGTAAGTACAAACAGCACTGCCTTAGGTACACAGCACGTGCTTTAATGCACTAATAATGCCAGCTTTTCTGAACTAGCAAGAGCTTAAACTCATTTAGATTTCCATTTTGTAAGCTGATATAATTTTGTAGTATATTTCCAAATAGAATTTTCTTTAAATTGAAGGAAGTTTGATAAAATCTTTTACCATGAACCGTAAAAACAGTCAAAATCTACACATACATAAGTAAAGCCAGTATTACTGTTTTCTTTAGGAAAAATGTCACCGAAATTCATATTACTCCTGGCAAATTCAAGTATTTCTAGAATTATATATATTCTACAAATATATTTAATATGATATCTCTTTGGAGATGCAAATTTTTTACAAAGCATGAAGCAATAGTAGAAGATAAATACTTAATAGGAAAATAAATTTTACATATATTTTCATAGCAAAAATCTGAACATACTTGTACGCAGTTGTAAAATACAGTCAATTTCTTACCACTATTAAAAGTCTGACATTATTAAGGATCCAGTGCAAGATTGTTACAGATATTTCATGACTGACAACAGCAGAAAAAGAGAAAGTTAGAAAGAGAAATGCTGGTTGAACAAGACCCTAGATTAATTATAGAAATTATGTTTATTTTATTCTGTGTA